CAGCATATTATGCTAGAACTCCAACACGCGGAAAGTTCCAGCATAATATACTGGAGATTGGAGAACCTGTGTATGAACTTTCAGTATATTATGCTAGACCGGTATATTATATTGGAACTCCAGTATATTGTTCTTGACATCCAACATACTTATGCTGGAACTCTAGTATAATATGTTGGTGTATTTTTCGAATTTTGAACAGTGTTTTCATTTAGATTTATATTTACATGAAAAAGTGGCTAAATTTTGATTACTTTTGAAACTGTGGCTATTTTTAAATGACCATTTGTAAATCTGGCTATTTTTGAATTTCTCCCAAATAGTGATCTCTACTCTTTTTTAAGGGGTTTTGGCATGGTATAACAACATACTCATATAATTGGCAGAAAATAGCCTTAATTATAAATATTGGCATCAAATAGCCAATAAATGTATATCACAATAATAATATATATATATATCACAATTGTAACCCGCGTATATCTCTATGTATATCAGTGATATCTCATGTATATTATGTGTATCTGTGTATATCCATGAAACTTTGTGTTATATACATGATATACAATGTGATATACACGGGCGCCCATAAAAAAATTCTGTTGTATACACGATATAAAAAGTGATATACACAGACGTCCTTAAAAAAACCGTGTGTGATATTCACTGATGTACACGATATACAACGTGATGTACACATGTCGTAGTTAGATTTATAGGTCCGATTTTTTACCTGAAACTAGTCTAAATCACTTCTAATCTTGCTCAAATTTTGTATATAGCCTCGTTTAGGTATTTTCAACCAATTTCATTACACTCACTCATTCAATCCAACCAAAAAATAGAAGAGAGAAGAAAAACAAAGTTGAAATATATTTTTTCTCTCTTAATTTTTGCTAATCTTGCTCAAATTTTGTATATAGCCTCGTTTAGATATTTTCAACCAATTTCAATCACACCCACTCATTCAATCCAACCAAAAAAAAGAAGAGAGAAGAAAAATAAAGTTGAAATATATTTTTTTTGCAAGAATTTTTGCTAAACTATGAGAGCAAAAGAGAAGAAATAAAAGAAGAAATACAGGGCGAGAAAAGGGGAGGGAAGCCAAAATAAGCGTGTAATTTTTTTTGAGAGAGAATATAAAAGAGAATAGTTTTTTTAAGATTTGGCTATATAATGCCAATTGTTTGGGGCTATCTTTGCGAAACCTAATATAAGGCTAAAAAATTGTCAATTTTTGTTATGTATTATTATATGATGCCAATTTTTCCTTTTTTAATTAACCAAAAAACATTTTGGCCCATTTGAAAGGATTGGATCCTGGCCCAAAACTAACCTGCCCTTCTTCGTAAGTCGAGGACAACAAAACCTAAACCCTAGCCATTTACAAATAACCCATTGCTGAACCGACTATTGGTCCTCCATTTTTTGCCACTCTTACAGCGGCGAAGTAGATCTTCGTGTTATCTTCCGCTCACCGAATCAAAGTGTAAGCGATTCTTATCTCACCTCCATTCAGATGTTATCCTTTCTATCTGCCTAAGAAACATTTTTTTCAAAACCTTTTTTCATAATGATTTTTAATGCCGCCATTTTATTTTATTTTATTGGAATATGAGCTATGTTTGATCTCATTGCTGTTACTACTTCCATCTTTTGGTTGTTAGATAAAAAAAATGTAAAGTTTCGGAGAGAACCCTAGATTACTTTTGCTGAAATATATTTTGATTTTCTTATTTAGTGACACCTGTTGGAGTGATTTGATACTATCTTGTTGGAGGTTAAGCGTGACTCTTATGCTGTGCTTTTTATGGTCCATTGAAGTTGGACCACTAATAAATTGTGTTCGATTGCCTTGAAATATAAAAATGTTGGAATTTGGGAGTAATGAAGACAGTAAAATTGAGTTAATATCACTCCAATTGCCGTTACACAAGTAATTACTAGTAGTATTTTTGGCCAGTAATTATTCTAAGAGACTTTCTTTTTATTTAGTAAGATACGTTGTCTTGGTTCTGTAACATGGATCATTTCAAATTTGGCTTTTAAGAATATCTGATGTTTTGACTGTGTGGATTTTGTTTCTTATTATTTGAGGCGTTGAATAAAGAAAGTGTTGTATTTGGAGTTTGTATTTGAATGGTACTTATGGTGTTTGTGAAGCTGTGTATTGGTTATTGTTGTGTTGTCTTCTCTTGAATCCTCACTAGGGTGTAACTGTTTTGTCATCCTTTCTGCAGTTTCCTGGTCCTCTCCTGCTCTATAATTACTAATGAAAGTGACTAGTTTTTTTTTCTTTAATTAGTGGTGTTTGAGGGTATCTTTGCTCCTTCCAATTTGATTCTTTTCGGTTTTGGAGTTTTGGAGCTATTTTTGTTGTCACTCTTTAGAAAATTCTCTTGATTACTGTTTGCATTTGACACAGGAAATAATGGTTAGGGTTAGTGTGCTGAATGATGCTCTCAAGAGCATGTACAATGCTGAAAAGAGGGGAAAGCGTCAGGTCATGATTCGACCTTCCTCAAAAGTCATCATCAAGTTCCTCATTGTCATGCAAAAGCATGGTATGTTAGTTTTTTGCTTTATGCACTGTCTGCATTACCTGGTCATATTCTCACTCATGGTATCCGTGTGTAGGTTACATTGGAGAATTTGAGTATGTCGATGATCATAGGTCTGGAAAGATAGTTGTTGAGCTGAATGGAAGGTTAAACAAGTGTGGTGTCATTAGTCCTCGCTTTGATGTTGGAGTAAAGGAGATTGAAGGATGGACTGCTAGATTACTCCCTTCCCGTCAGGTACAGTGATTAATATATTCACTTTGTTCCTCTAAACAATATATGGAACTCCGTTTCTGGTCATCGCCAAATTAGGGCTTCTATTCTTTAGCTTCCTGGATTGATTGTAGGGATGAATGTTTAGTTATGGTCATATAAGCTTGTGAATTAAACATTTTTAAAGTTTGGCTTTGTTACTTTTTTGATCAATCATGATTTGCTTAATGCTACTATACCTTTTTGGTTCGTCTTAAGCGTTAATGCTCATAAAGGCCCTTACATTTTTTAATGTCTCAGAGCAAATGCTCTTTGTAGATGCTAGTAGTTGAGGCTCTCCTGTAAAATAACTTCTGCCTATCCAAAGGAGCAATCTTATGTCATATTGCCATGGCTAGAAGTGTTCTCGAGATTGCTCTTTGTGACCGGTCATGGAAATTGTGGTTCTTTGAAGTTGTATTTGAACAATTCTATTGTGGATTTGAAACCCCCTCATATATGAGTTGAGATAGTAAACAAGTAAAACTTGAGATTTTGTCTGCACTCCATGGATGAAATAAGAGTCTTAGTTGTTAGTTAGGCATACCCTGTTTATGTTTATGTTTTTGTTCTGTTTCTTACATGTTTTTTTTGAACTTGCAGTTCGGGTACATTGTGCTGACAACTTCCGCTGGTATCATGGACCATGAGGAGGCCCGCCGAAAGAATGTTGGTGGAAAAGTTCTCGGTTTCTTTTATTGAGTTTGTTATGTTGACAAGGATGAAAACTTCGTTTCTGCTGTTTGTTGGCTTTTTACAGTAAATTAGCTACTTTTTTGTTGGGTTCATATCAATTTTAGTAGGGATTTTATTGAAATTTTGGAGACAATTATCAGCATTTGTTGACAAAAGATGTTGATGCTTTTTGTGAACTGTGTGGTATGTCTAATGACATCCTGGTTTGTTGGCGACGTGCATGTTTGTGCTTTTAATATGGCGATGGCAGTTTAGTAGCTTTTTAGTTCGTCTTTTAGGCTTAAATCTAATACATCCTCAAGAGTACATAGAAGGCAAAGGTAAGTTGTAGTTGTCTTCTTCTTGTCTTGACAACTTCCAGAGAACTTCCAAAATTTCCAGTATGCTTCCGTGTAAATGTTATTTTTCAGGTCAAGGTGCCAAGAAAGGAAGTGAATTTATTGTTAGAATCCATGTTCTCTATCTGAGTATTTTTCCTCATCTTCCTCAATATATAGCAAATACAACCTCTCTTTTTCATATCAGAACCAATATATTTGAATCCTAATTAGTGTGCCCTCCTAGTGCTCGAAACTGTAATTGTAGATTTTGCATTTTTGAAACCGGTAAATGTGCAGGCATAACATGATTAAATCGCTTTACTTCAGAGACCCATTCACCTCTCTATCATTCCAAAATCTATTTTTGTCTTATGCTCAAATGTAGTTCTAAATGGGGTGCAAGAGCACAAAAAATGAAGGAAAGGCAAAATATTATTTTTCTTCGTGGTATCTAGTATTAGTTCAAAATGGTGTTCAAGCATAGAAATGATAAAGCAAAGAGAATTTTCTTCAAGGTACTTAGTTGTAACGACTTGTGCTATAACACAGTTGAAAGGAGATTTAAAGAAGGATATGTTTTTTCTATTTTCATCTGTAAATTTTGAGTTGTTTTTGAATATCAGATGATTAAGGATACAATAAGCGTTCACGCAGAAGATATTTTTTTTCTTCCAAAATCAACTTTTCGACAAGATAGTATGTATATGTATCCTAAAAAATTCTAAATATTCTCTGCTAATGTTAATAGCTCTTTGGAAAAGAACTTTTATTCTAAGAATGAATATTACTGGAGTAGTATTTTTCAACTATCAAATTATCACATCCTTAAACCCTTTCCCATGATTTTCTTCTCTCTTCCGCAAAAAATTATTTTGCGCGACAGTTGACCGTTTAAGAACTTAAAATAACTAATGAAAGAATGAAATAACCATTTTATTTGTAAGTGTCCAAAAGAAAAAGAATATTTCCCGTTCGCATTACTCATTTATGTAAATACTAGTGGGAAATCGCCTGTGCTAAGCACGGGCCCGACAACTCATTTTTATTTTGTGTGCTTTGATTACAAGTCAAATCTTATACTGAACAACGTAGCAAGAGTAACAACTCACCATCCTTGAGGATGATAATAAACTAAGAAGATAGCTATCTAGCTTGGTAATCAGAATCGTCGTAGATATTGAACAAAACTGAGGCAATGACGCAATTCTTGATAGATTCAACAACAAATCGCCTACCGAATCTTTTCTTGACATTTATGGAGTTGGATCTTTGATTTATCCTCTGCTGCAGTAGAATCTTCAACCTTCTTTCCACTTGTTGCTATGGAAAAGAAATTTGATCAATCCATCAGTTCTCTTTCCTCCAACCGCAACACCGACACAGTTATCACTCTTATTAAGTGTAATAGGATGCTTCTGAAGAAGACAACACATAGAATTGACCCTTGTCATGAGGGATTTCTCATCTGATGCTGGCATATTTTAAGTGTCACTAAACAAGCACCTCGAAATCTCCTCTTCAATTGACAGCTTTTTGGTATTTCAGTTTTTTGATAAGAGTTAAAGGTAAAACGTATGAAATTAATAAGGTTTGTGAAGGTGAAAGTACATCGGCAAAATAGAAATCTCAAATGCTAAATTACAGTAAGATGTTAAATTCATGCGTTTCTTGTAATCAACTATCATTCCCACAAAGACAAGTACATTGATTAAGCAAAACAACGGCCACAGTTAGTAGATGGGTAGTCTCATGAGATGTATATTTTTCACACACAGCTTCGCCCCAATATATAGAGCTTAGACATGCCGTGCAAGCTACATCAAAGATTTATGATGATAAAAGACAATAATAGCACTTAATAGAGACGTCGATGTGCTAAATTAGATAAGATGATATATGAGGGGCAGGAATGCAAAGATGTTTTTCACCTTAGTCATATTGAGCAAACATCTTGCATTGTAGTAATGGTTGTTATTACTTGTCCAGATTGAAGTGTTTCCGCAAAAGCGTTGAAATATGTGAAGCATATCCCAATATGAAAATGAAGCTGGAGAGCAAAAATGAGGAAGTGTGTGTTGAAGTTTGGCAAAATGCCAAAGTCCCACATTGGTTGGGAGTTAAGTTTGGGGGGGATTTTTCCCCTATAAAAGAAGGCCNATTTTTGGAGTGAAATAAAATATTGGTTGTGTCCGAGGAGTAGGCAAAATTAGCCGAACCTCGTAAATTCTGGTGTTCCCTTTATTGTTGCTTTATTGTCTTATTTATTATTTGGTGGCTGTCATAATTTTGGTATAGTAGTTGTGACTTATTCACACTATATACATTTGGCTTCCGCAACAGTGTGTTCATGAATTGTTTACGATTACAATATCTATGTACCAACTAAATTAAAGAAGACAAGTTTTAGTCATTCAACTATTTAATTTATGTTCGTTTGTCTTAAGAGATAATACAAATGTAGTACTACTCTATAAATTCTAGTTTTATAAATGAGTTTTTGTTCTTTATTAAAAAAGGTCGACAAATATGTGAACAGAGCATTGAGAGAAAATTAAAAGAGAGAGAAACGAAAAGATTTTTCCAATGTCCTCCATTTCGATTTTTTCTTTATGTAAAATATTTATGGCGTTTCATGTTTTCCTCACAAGAGGACTAAATTGTTGTATGAATGTTATTATTTCCTATGATAAAATTCCATAAAAGAAAGAAACCTAAACTAATACAAATGAGTCAGTTGCTAACTTGAGATATAAGCAGAAGTGTCAAAATAGTAGAAGACAATTCTAGTAATGAACAATCCCATATGACGGTGTCTTTCATTTGCTCCAATTTATATTTCCTAGTCTAGGAAATCGTAATGTAACACAATATTATCTGACGCAGATGCTACCTGGCATGGTAGCAAGTTCTCGTCGAGCAGTCTCACCATAGGATTAAATTCAACGCCAAGTAATCTACAACAGGATCCCTTGTGGAAGAAACTTTTGGTTAAACTATCACTCTGAATTATCTAGACAACCTTGTCCCAGTTCTTGTTCCCATGCAACGGTTTTACATGCCAATCATATCTCATACTCTCGTTCTCTTGAGCGGGCCTTGGTTAATAATAGGATCAATTGGAGACAGCTGAGTCTCCACCTGCTGCAAAGAAAAAAACAAGTATCACTCAGTTTTAGTACTTGTTGTATTGAATTTTAAGACGAACAGAGTCGTTAATGAAGTGTGCGAAAACAAATAAAATTTCAGATACTCCCAGGATAACTACTTCACAACCCAAATCAAGCTCCTTAATTCAAAGGTTAGCTACCTCATGCTTTAAGATAAACGGGACAAGGATAGTAGCGGGTTTATCTAAGGGTACTAAGAAATCCATTGGGAAATACTACAGTTATGGTGTTAAGGCATTTTACATTATGTTGTAGAGAGGCTAGGATGTGATCAATTTGCTTAAGTTCCTTGAAGTTAATAGTCTCTTCAGCGGGCTTAGTTTCAGATGTTGGACTCTCATTTTCAAAATCCTCTGCATAAGAAATTTATAGTGAAAATTTACACTTTCCAATGGCTGCTATTTACTTGCAAAAAGGTCAAAGAAATTTGAAAAGTGATGTAAAAGCTACCACGGCTCAAACGAAGAGGAGTACATGATTGAATCTTGAAATTGTCGCCCTGCCTATTCTTCTAAGTTTTTGTATGCTACCTGTGTGTTGATGCCCTTTTCATTATCTTTAACCTATAGCAATATTTTTTTGTGATAACTAATTCCGTATATTAAGAAAAAATATATAGCAATATGAAAAGCATGACATTCTTTACCACCACAAGGTATTCATACCTATTGAAGTATTGGTGACTTACCTGACTCACTTATCTAATATGCTCAAAAATCTAGAAAAATGGTGTATGCTATGAATGCAGCCCAAAAACAGAGTAAGATAATTTATTTGCTGCAAGGTATTCATTCAAGAAAGAAAAATTACTAAGCACTGACTCTTTTTCTTCTTCTTCTTCTCATTAGTATGAACTTTGTTTCAGCAACAGAATAATTCAAATAAATACCCTTCTAACAACATCTAATGGTGATATATCAGGAATTAAAATGATGCAGCGAGAAACAGGAAAATATAGATGCACAAATCAACAGTCTAAAATACTAAGTAAAAAAGAAGAATCAGAATCATTGTCCAATTGAAAATTAGAGATTAAAAAAGTACATGGCAACCCTTACTCAAAATGCAACCAAAGAATGAAACCAAAGATAATAAAATACAGGAGCATGCATAAGAAATATAATAGAAAACCTGATTGAAGAGTTTTGTCAAACACCTATACAACAAAATTTATTAATATATTACACTTTCTCTGCAGGAATCCTTCTCTGTAAAGGGAAAACACAAATACCTAGCATATTATGAAGGACTGAAATAAATCAATAGAAGAAACACAAGATAAGAAGAAGATTACCCAGTAAAAAATACCAATAGACAGAGGGGAGGAGTGAGAGAGCAGAGGTAGGAAGAGAAGAGGCGGTGTTTGCAGATGGAGCTTTTCGTTTCAGGAAGTGTCGGGTTTATAGTAAGAGAAATGAAACATTAACTTAATGACCTATCTATACCATATATCAAACCTTATTACCCTCAATGTTTAAGGTTTGTGTTTATTATATTTAAGCATACCAAATTACCATTTCTATACCATAATTCAAATTAGGGATATAATTAAGGGTTCATTTATATTAGGCATAATTATAGGACTATCTTCCCACTTTCTCTTTCCTTTCATCTCAACTGTTCACAACACACACACAACTCACGATGCTCCTATGCTTTCTCTCGTTGATCATCCCCAACTGCCCACCACCGTCGAAGAATATCATATTTTCAGATTCACAAGAAAAG